CCTCCTCCAATAGTAAATACAGTAGTTAGCGTCAAAAAATCAGTTAGTATTAAAACTAATAAAGTTAAAAAACTATACTTTAAAATAAACAAATTTAGAATTAAACGGAAAAATTATACCTTGAACTCAAGTACAAACTCTCTATAATAAGGTATTGAAAATTGTTTCTTGTATAATAATGCGCACGTGACAAGTATACGTGCTCATAAAAGCATTTTATAAAGTTCACTGTTTAAATTTGATTTTAATGAGCTCACGAGTGAATTCTAAAAAGATGATTTCTTTTCAAGAATAATACTTTTTAGTTTCTGGCAATGTGTTTAAATTATTTATTATTTAACCAAAATTTATGCTTTTGAAAACCGTTAACGCGTAAATAGAGAAAACATTATTTGAAAAGGCAAATAATAATGCTCTGAAAAATATAAAATGTCATAAGTTGCGAAATTTAAGTTTAAGATATATACATATATATATATATAGAGGAATCTGGGGTATGACGAGACACCTAATGTTTAACTTCTTGTAGTATGATGAATTATTGAACAAAATTTTCGATTTATATATTAAAGAAAAGTCAAAGTTGTTAGGTTTTTAAATGTTTTACATTAAACAATTGGTATTGTGTTTTTGAATAAAAAAAAAAAATTAAACCTAAAAAAGTACCATTTGTCCTATCTTGCCCACACCATGGGGTAAAATGAGACAGAAATTCTAAACACATTTTCAAATAAGTTAATATGCATACTTATTTCTAAATAAATAATATTATGTACATATCTGCATATCTTACACGCGGTTTCAGATTTGCGCTCGATTGATTATTTACCCGAAGCGAAAAGAAAATGTGTTTGTTATATATTCACGGCCTTAATGAATACCGATTGATATCAAAAATTATCAGTGGATGAAGACTACTTTTCAACATAGATATTAAAAGAAGAAAAATTTCTGTGAAAAAGAAAAGGTAAAATATTATTTCTAGAGGCGGATTTCTCAATAGACAGAGTGGACTAGAGCTGTCTAGTGCGGCAAATGTACTGTTTTATTAAAATATATAATTTCAAAAATAAAAAATAAAAAATAAAAAAAGGAAAAATAGAAAACTTCTTATTTTATATTTAGGAAAAATAATTTTCTTGTAAGATTATTTAAGGTCCAGGGATGGATTAGAATAATTTTTTGGCTCGGGAAAATGATTTAAACCTGTTTTTTATATTATAATATCTAATATTATGTATAAAAACAATTATTACCGGTGATTGTTAATGCAAAAGGTGGTTCAACCTCTCATATAAAGCATATAATCATATAAAATTTTAAAAATTACAATTTTATCTACTGACTTATATACTTATTGAAGTAAAATTTGCACATAAATATATTTACTTTTCTTTTTTAATTTATCGATGATTTCCTTTGTGTCAAAATAATTTAGCATTTTTTTTCTCTTCTAGCATTAGCATAAAATCTTTAAAATATGAATCGGATAATGTACTTCTCAAACTTGTCTTAATACATTTAAGTGATAAGAATGATATTTCACAAGCAGAACCTTATTTAGGCATTTTGGTGCCTTTAGGTAAAATTAAAAATATGGAATTTTTCGCTGATTTTTGTTTTTAAAATATCAATTTTAAACTTTTTATATACGATGAAAATTTTATAATAAAAAAAAAAAATTGTTCATAAAAATCCGAGGCCCCTTAATAACGGAGGCCATAGGCATTTGCCTATCCTTCTTTATGGTGAAAATGATTTTCGAACAACCTATGAAAATAAAAAGGATAATCTTTTAATATTCATAGTTAAATCTTTTGGAAAAATTATCTTGCTTGTGTCATTGATGGTGTAAGTAAAAATGTGAGTACCAAAAACAATGTAAGTAATGATAGATCTATGAAATGTTTTTTTTTTTTTTAATAACTTCCAGTTTACAATTTACTATGATAATTTATTTTATTTTATTTTTATTTTTTTGGTTTATAAAAAATTCTTCATCAGATAATTTACAAAGTCAAAAAAATTGCATCTGAATATAAAAAAATGAATGAAGTACCTAATACATTGAGGGAAATTGATAAAGTATGTACCTACTATACCCATGATAAGAAGTCAAAAATTAAATTAATTATGATAAAGTAGTAAACTAGTCAACAATAAATAATAATAAATATAACAAAAAAATAATTCATGACAATTTATGGTTAAATTAAAAACTGGCTGCGGTCATAGTTGCCCTCACGGATAATGGTCCACTGGGAAGTTTCCCGGTATCCCGATGAGCCAATCCAGCTCTGTATATATTTATTTCGATTTATTAAGAATTATAGTCATAATAAATTGGTAAAAATAATCCACAAGTCCGTATGCGTATTGTATTGAAAAAACAGTTTTTGATAAATGATAATAATAAATACAAAAATAACCTATGCAAGCTTCCACACCAGGATACCGAATATATCGATCACAAGTTTCGAGTTAAAACAAGCACAATGATTTTTGATAGTTTAAGAAATTAATTGAAAGAGAACGAGCAGTATATTTCCTTTTTAATTTAAAGTTTTTAAATTTGGATAATGCGGATGAAATTATGGAATTTGTAAAACATTTTTAACATTTTTACCTAGAAGATCTTGAAGATTGTTTTAAAAATTAATGTATTTCAAGTACATCTTAAAAACAAATATAACATGTAAATTTTACAACTGTTAAGTGAATATGATTGGTACGAAATGGATCCAAACTTAGGCAACTATCGCAATTCGTATTCTTGTGCGTAGGTACACCTGCAACAAATCGGTCAACAGAACGTTCGTTTTCATGTTTAAAACGAATAAAAAACGTACTCGTGGTCATAAATAAAAGAATAAAGATTAAACAGCTATGCTAACTATCGAGTCAAGTATTTTTGTATCATTGTCAATCGAATAAAACCGTTCGCAAATCAAAAAGCAATACGTCAACTACTAAAATTAAAATGATAGTTAAGCCAAAGAATTGTCATGTAAAAATTATTATTATAACATCTGTGTTACACACATTATAAAAATAATTTATTGTAAAAAAACGATGTAATGTTTACTTAATCGAGTCCAAGCAACGGCTCAAATAATGGCGGTTCGTAAAAACGATCGTTGCACGTTTTCATTAAGGATTCGGTGGAAATCCGTTGAAATCTTAGCGAAGCAAACTGAGAGCGAGAAGAAAACCCGTACAAACATTCGGAAGGTGTTCGACAGTCGGTGACGGCCAAAGTGTTGTGGTGCGGTAAAAGAAGTTCGATCCGTCTCGGAAGAAATAGGTCGGCGAACATTTCCGTTCACGCGGGCGGTATCAACGTACGACAACGCGGTATAACGGCGAACGAAACGATCGAGAGACCGCACGTTGAAATAACGGGACCCAGGGGGGGGGCACTAAGTGAACACGTAGTACGAATATAGGCGTAATAAGGTTTTTAGCACCCCTGAGTTTAATTGTAGCACATTTTTTTTTCAGATCTGTAGTAATTACTGTGAAATACCATTCAATTTTATTTTCAACGATTTCAGCACCCCCAAATATTTGGTTGCGCCCATGTGTACGAGTCCGAAAGGCGCGGACAACCGTAAACGTAACGCCCGGGGAAAAACGTTAAGAACACGGGCTGCGCACCGAATCAAGCGCGGTTCCAGAAATGAAAAATATCGGGGTGTGAGGAGCTGGTAAAGTGAGTTACTGTCATAATTCGATGCGCATGTTGGTTTATACGAAGTTTATCCTCACGCATAGTTTCTTGAATTAATTAAAGTATCCACGTCCGATATTATTCTACCTAATGTCCGAGGGTGTAGAGCTCTAGCTACCATAGCCCTTTCCCCTATGTAACCGCGCCTGTGTCGAATCAAGAGTCCTTGCCTAAGATTATTTTCCGACGGTTACCGTGTGTACGATCGTGTATTCGTATTGCGTTTCGAACACGTTACCGGTGACGAGAGTATACAGTGTACTCTACGGAAAAACGCACCAAATCGTTCGGGGATCGAATCTCCTTGTTAATCGGGGGTGCATGGGAAACCGTATGAAATAGAGCGAAACAATAACACGTTAAAGGATAACGCGGGACGGCGTTGTTACAACAGTGTCGTTGCGGAAGTGCCCATTAGGCGGAGTAGGCGTCCGTCTTAGGGCCTTACTAATTTTAGGGACCCCGTAAAAACGGAAAACAATATATTTTCTTTTTTATATAATAATACCCATATTTTATTTACGGGACAAGAGTCATTATTAATTATAATATATATTAAATTGTAGGTGTTGTATGCGGTTATAATAATAAAATTATTTTGAAAAAAATAGAAATAATCAATAGATTTTTCTCGCAAACATGATTTCATTAATTAATGACAGTCGGTTATTGTTAAAGCTGTTAATTTTACTGATTGGACGGTAAACGTTAAAGATATGTGTGTAAAAAAAATAATTTTGTAGGGCCCGAGATTCGAGTTGCCTAGGGGCCCCCGCGAATGTTCGATCCGGCTAGGCGCCCGCGCGCGGTGAAACGGAAACGGACGTTGGAGACGCGGCGCGCGCGTTGTTGCGAACGGAAACCGGTGCGGAGCAGAGGGGAAAAACGGGAGAGAAAATTAAAAAAAAAAAAAAAAAAAAAAAATTACGATCGGAAAACAACCGAGTGAGAACCCGTCGGAGGATCGGCCGGACAAATCGTCTGGTCGCGGCGGCGCTGTTGGGAGTGCGATTAATTAAACGGTTGCGCGTCGATTACACTCGACGTTGACAGGTGCGTGTAGTAGTAGTAGTAGTGGTACCGTAGCCGAACGCGGACAGTGCCACGGCCGTCGCGCAACCTCTTTGCATTTCGGTGAGGTTCGGAATGCGTAGGTAATAGTTATTGCCCCCCCCTCC